GCGATCATTCATTTGTCAGCTAAGGAGCAAGGCAGCGGTTAGCAATTCCCCTCTGCAGAGGTCAGCTGACAGAACAATCAGTGCAACTGCAGAATAGAGCTTTCCTTTGAACTATTGTTATGGAGCATGCTCTTGCTGAGACAAGGGGGGAGGGGAGCTTGGTTGGCTTCCTGTTTCAAGAAGACTATGTAAAGAATAAAATATGTACTACATGAATCTAGATGTAGTCGCCCAGAGCTCTTACTCCTTGTGTCTGTTCCTGTACAGAAATAAAGTTGGTTTTAAATGCATGTGCTGAGGTATAGATTATCAAACTGTTAAATATCACTTTGTCTAGAATTAGGGTCTGTTTTCATCCTTCTAAACACAGAGGCAGTGATTATTGATTTTTCTTCCTTTTTAGTATGGTTAAGCTTTTAGGGTGTTTTCCCCCTTCGGTTACTATAAACTATCACAGATCAGTGTCATACTTTGAATCTGTACTCACGTGTACATGCTAATACTTTTACTAACATTTCCTCTTTGTCTTTAAAAAGTTAGAAAAAATATCCGTGAAGAGACAGAAATGCATACTATGGTATCAGATTGGAAGAGATGTCTTATGTAACTGAAATATTCTTAAACATTTTAATTGAGGCTTTTTACAAGAAATGTTAATCCATGAAATATGACTTATGACTTTGGAAGCTATAAAATAATTTTATAACATTGGGGGAACATTATTAGAAAGTTGTCTGCATGTGATTTGAAATACACCAAACACAATAAAGCAAATTAGGAAAATAATAGCTAAAATTTTACATGAAAGAATTAGAATATTTTTAAAGATGGACCTATTTTCTGTTGTCTCATTTCAGATTTTGTCTTTCTATACATGCTTTAAAACTAATGGCAATTTTCCTAAACTAACTTTTTTTTTTAAACAATAAAATGTGACATGCAGAAGCTAAGAAACTATAGCAACAACAAGAGCAAATCTTTTTCGTTCTCAATCGCACCAAAATTTTCTTGGAATCCAAATAAACAGTAACTACTCTTTGATGTTACCACCTCAGCTTCCTAGATAACTAATCTCCCATTTTTCCTTAAGTGCTTTAATGCCACTTTTTTACTCAGTGATTCCTTTCCACCTCTTAACATCTTTGTAATATCTTTCCATTTCCATTTCTTAGATTCAGCTGGGTCTTCTTGCCCACATCCTATTCTGTCTCTCAGCACAGCTAAATAAATGGAATTTAAGTATACTAAGAAGCCTTGTGCTCTAGGTTTTTTTTTTTTAATTTGGCTTCTGGAAGGGCCAGACCTACCTCTCTTGCAAGGGTTTTAAAAATTTTGTTTTACTTTTGTTTTAGTTAATGAGGATTTTTTAAAGGATTCAGAGCATGACACCAAATATCTTTCTGTAGTGTTTCTATCAACTACCCAGACCTCACCAGGATCTGGAAGCCATCCACTTCTCTGCATCTCCTATTTAACATCCCAACACCAAACCAACCTGAATCTCTCACTTTCATTTCTACAATACCCTGTTTATTGCTCATCTCATTTCCAGCATTCTTCGTACACGCTCAGAGTGTTTTTCTAACACCCTAAATTCCGTTGTTCAAAGGGTTGAACAATGCGAATATGACCAGTAGAGTCATCTATGATTTGCCCCTTTCCTGACTGTCGCCTCATGTTCTACCATTCCCTTCTTGCTCGTAGCATTCCAGCCCCGTGGCCTACTCTTGCAATAGAAATCAACAAATTCTTTGTTTTAGGTTCTTACACGTACTGTTCTCTTAGACCATAAAGTTCTCATTGATTTTTCACCTTTACATTTCTAATTCCTGTTTAGTTGCCTCTAAATTCAATGAGGACAGGGACTTTGCTTTTCTTATCCCTATTAATTCATCTTAATTCATCCCGTATCAATTCATTAGTTCATATTTGCATAATGCCATGCACACACTCCATCTTTGGTCCTTATATGCTGAATGACTGAGTAGCTGATGGAATGAATCGTGAATTCTGCCACCACTGGTGCTCCACCGCCGGTCACCACTTGACCATTGCATGAGCCGTCTTTTGCTTCTACTTGACACCAGTCTTGCTTTACCTCACAGTCCCCCTCCCATACTACTGCTATCATGAGCTTTCTGACAATAAATCTCAAGTAACCAGCTTATACAGAATTGTTCAGTGGCTTTCCATTAGCCTAAAGTTAAAAGTCTTCAGCTTGCTGTACAAAGGCCTCTTGTTTTAGTACCTATTTAGCTTCCCCTTTTGTCATTCCCTGCCTTACTTGCAGTAGTATAGAATGACAAAAGGAAAAAAAGAAACAAACGAAGAGACAAAATAAAACATCTAAAAGTATTCCGAGGCCCCTGCTGCTAATTTCTTGGTTGGCATACTGCTCTGAGGACCCTTCACTGTATTGATTTAATTAATGTATAGAACAATGGATTGAAAGAAGCCAGAAAAGCTGGATGGGTTAATATTAGAAAGAGCAGAAAGCTGACCTCCAATCAAGATGGCTTCAGAAGTTCACTTTTGAAATCCCTCTGTACCAAATGTATAGCTATGATGGATTAAATATACAAATAGAAAACCAACAAGGCATAACTAGGCTCAAGAAAGATAGATATCGTTGTGGACAAGTAATGGAATAGAAATGCAGTGATCTGGACTAAAACCAATAGTTGCTTTCCAGAAGCAGGCTTTGGCTCCTATGAGCAAAGAGGACTTAAAATATGCAATGAATAGAGCTTAAGGCCAGGAGCTAGTTTATGGCTTCCTCGGTTCCTGGAAGGACATGGAAAGAATATGAATACATTGCTATTCGGTTAAAATTGAGGTTGTATTATTAAAGGAGTAGAGGAAAATGGGTGCTCACTATGTGACTTGTACTGTTAACCATAATAGAAAATAATGAAAAGAAGTGAGCTGTGTTCAATCTGGGAACCTAGAAATAAAGCAAAGAGAAAGAGAGAACAGAGAGAAAACCTAAAGGAAGTGGGAGAAATAATAAAAACAACAGCAGAAATTAGTGAAATAGAAAGCTGAAACAGTAAGATCAAAACCACAGTATTTTTGGAAATCTGATAAAATATATATTTCTAGAAAAACTGATTAAGAAAGGCATGAAAAATAATATTAGAGAAGGCACAAGGAAATAATACTTAAAAGGATTCATAGCAACTGATACCATTGAGATTTTTAAATCATAGAGAACACTCTAAATAACTTCAGACCAATACATTTAAAAACTTAGATGAAATGGGTAATTCTAAAACTATAAGCTATCCAAAATGATTCAAGAAGAAACAGAAAATCAAATAACTAAGTATTACAGAAAATGAATTCATAATAAAAAAAGATTCCTTCTTCCACCCTTGCACCTTCCCTGCCCCTGCATCCCCTACTCCCTGACTCGAGAAGGGGAGCATCCTGAGACACAGGCCCTGGTCATTTTAGAGGAGAATTGTCATCTAACTTCAAGAATCCTTTAACTGTTTTCAAAGAATTGGGGAGTGAAAGTTAACCCAGTTTTGGAGGCTTGTATTATATTGCTACCAAGACCCAACAAGAATAGTACATGAAAAGAAAATCATAGTTCAATCTTGCCTATGGACATAAACTCAAAAAACTCTATTAGCAAATTTAGTTCAGAGTCTGTCTATTGGCCTATTTACCTACCTACCTATCTATCTATTGATCTCCATTCATCCATGTTCTCTGAGTTTACCCCTGGAATGCAAGCATAGTTCAAGGCCAGAAAATATACATTTCATGTAACATTGATATGGTTATATAATAGATAGATATAGATATAGATATAATAGATAGATTAAAAGTATTTGATAAGGTCAGGATCATAGTGACCTCTAGGGCAAGAGGGAGGCATAGTAAAGTCAAGACACAATCCATGGTAGGCTTTAGTTATATCCACATTAATTAATTACTTTTAAAAATCTGCAAGCACCTATGGAAAACATTAAGATTTTATAAAGTTACTTGTATACATGTATATTTCATGATATTCTTTATATATTCTCAATGTAATTCTTTTGATGTTTGTGATATCGTATAATAAATGTCAAACAAAAAAATAAAAGGTAGACCACTTACAGAAACAAGTAGAACTAGAAAAGGGTAGGACTGAGCAAAAGACCAAATCTTGGGAGCATTTGGGAGAATGAATGAGGTGTAGTTACCTTAGAGAAAGGCTGGGAAAGTAAATTTTAAGAAGTAGTGTTGTGTGTTAAGAATGTAATTCCCCATTACCTAGTTACTGATACTTTAATAAAGATTTCAAATTGTTCTCCATTATGTTTTGGGTGTCATGCTGGTATTTCTTCTGCATATGAAATTATACTGAGCTTTGCCCAGGTTGTGAGTACTTCTTCAAACGGTGGGTTGGGCTTCTGCATTCTGGTCCATCTGGACAAAATATTCATCCTTTGCCTTCATCTTGTTGTCCATCTCTCTTATTTCCTGGCAAACTTCCACTTATCTTTTGAGTTTTAAATTCAGCATTTCCTCCTTTGTGGACAGGCTCTCCTTTTGTATGTACTAGTGAGCTTCTTGAGAACCTGGACTACTTATTTTCCCGTTTGCAATTCCCTGGCCCAGAGTAGGTGCTCGATAAATATTTGTAAAGTTAGTGGGCAAATTAATAAATGAGTTAGCAATTTTTTCTTAAAAACAGCTTTATTTAGGTATGATTTATATTCCATAAAATTCATCCTTTAAAATGTAGAATCCAGCGATTCTTAGTATATTTGGAGTTGTGCAGATATCATAATGTAATTTTATAAGTTTTTCATCTCAAAAACCTAGTACCCATTAGCCATCATTAACCATTTCATCCAATTTCATTCTTTTGCACATGGAAAACCAGTTGTTCCAGTGCCATTTGTTGAAAAGCCTGTTCATTCCTGAGTGACCAATCTGGAATGTGTTTCTTATCATATGTACTGATAGTCTTTTAATTTCTATTCTTATGTTTTGGTTTTCAGGTTGCTTATCAAGTGTCCCACAAATGAAAAAAATTTCCACATCTTATGAGGAAAGACGAAAGCAAGCTACTGCTATTGTTTTACTAGGAGTAATAGGAGCTGAATTTGGTGCAGAAATTGAACCTCCTAAACTGCTGACCAGACCTCGAAGCTCTAGTCAAATTCCTGAGGGATTTGGTTTGACTAGTGGTGGATCCAACTACTCACTGGCCAGACATACTTGTAAGTTAAAAATTCCTAATGCCGATCTATTGCTTCTCAGTACATATTACCTGTTAACAAAATCTCAGAATATTGAACATATCCTGAGTTTTAGCTCAGATAGAATGCTTAAATGACATTGGAAAGCAGCACAATCTATTTGGCACATTACCCTGTAGTTACAGTTCTGGGACTTCTTTTTAAAAGTTAAAACATGGTCTTTTAAATGCTTTTCTTAAAATAACACATTTCTGAGCTTTGTGTTTCCACATTTTGGTCAAGACTTTAGCCAAAACTTCTAACTTCTAAAATAATTTCTGAAAAACTATGCATCTTGTCCTGAATGTGATTTGAAAAGTCAGGGGTGGAAAACCAATTTTTTATTTTTTAAAAAGTGTGTGTGTGTGTGTGTGTGTGTGTGTGTGTGTGTGTGTGTGTATGTGTGTATAAATATATATATATGTATTTTAAAGAATGTGAATGAGGAACTACGAATTACTTCTGTAATTTAAAAAGTATTCCAATAAAATTATTCCAATAATGACTAAAAAATTACATTCAGAGCTCAAAGGGTTTGTGTCATATTGCTACTTTTGGTTCTGTGGTTGGTATGTTAATAATAGGTAAGGGTATTTTATAATGAGGTCTTTTGGTCCTTTAGTGTCAGAACTCCCTTAGGTAAGGACAGAATGTACCTACCATATTGCAGAATCATTTCTAACAAATGTGCCATCTTAACTACCAAATATAATCCTACCGATTATATCAAGATATTCTTTGTAGCATAAATTGCAATGTGTTCTTTTGGGGTTTTGGCTTTTAAGCAAGGGGAAAAGATATAGGCTACTTTGTTAGTTATGACAGCAGAGAAGTTCACTAGATCATTGTCACATACTTTTCCGGAGAAACCAGGGAACCATATTGGCGGCTTTATTATTAAAGCCCTCCTACAGACTTAGCGGCCTGCCTATCCTCCCTCCCCACCAGACCCCAACCCCTTTTTAGATTCTTAATCCAACAAATACGTATTAGTGGTTGGTAATCTCTTGATCTCTGTTTGACATTGAGAATCAGGGAGTAATAATAGGAATACCACCACCAACAATAATAAAGCAACCACATAATTCTTTTGAGCATGATTTTAAGCTCTTTACATGCACTAACTCACTTAATCCTCACAATAACCCTATCAAGTGGGCTGTTCCTCAATTATTTCCATTTTACACGTAAGGCTAATTGAGCACAGAGAGGTTTCGTTAACCTGGCTGAGATCCTTCCTCCAGGAAATGGCAGTTTTTGTCTTAACACAGGCTGTTGGTTCTAGAGCTCATGCTTTTGACCATTGTGTAAACTGCTACTGCTCAGTGGTTTCTGGTGGAAAAGGGTTTAATGACTAACATGTGCTATTAGTTTATAATTTAAAAATTTATTTTCTGTCTCTTCGTTTGATCATCAAAATAGAAATGAAGATTTCTTCAAAGTAGCTCAGCCAAAATGTAGTAAAACCTGAATTTGAACTCAAGCTTCTTGCGACCTGAAAACCCACACTCTTCCCATTTTCCCCCCGGGCACGTCCACTTCCGCTCTCCTGCAGAGGCCTCTTCATCTTTTCCCAGGTTCTTCAGGTTCCCTGTTTTCCATTCATAAAACCCTGCTCAAATCTCACCTTCTCTACCAAGGGCTCTTTAATGGGCCCAACCTTTCCGTGTCACTCCAGATAGCCTAGGACTTATACAGAGAGAGCCTTATTTAGAATCTTGACAGAATACTAGAGGTTAGTGAAACCTTGACATGATTTAGTCCAGTGGCTTTCAAACTTTTTTGCTCACCATCTCTCTAATGAGTATCAAGAAATGTCTAATCCCTTGCACATTTTTATATTGACAGCTAAAACTTTTTTTTAACATCTTTATTGGAGTATAATTGCTTTACAATGGTGTGTTAGTTTCTGCTTTATAACAAAGTGAATCAGCTATACGTATACATATACCCCCATATCTCCTCCCTCTTGCGTCTCCCTCCCACCCTCCTTATCCCACCCCTCTAGGTGGTCACAAAGCACCGAGTTGATCTCCCTGTGCTATGCAGCTACTTCCCACTAGCTATCTATTTTACATTTGGTAGTGTATATATGTCCATGCCACTCTCTCACTTTGTCTCAGCTGACCCTTGTCCCTCTCCATGTCCTCAAGTCCATTCTCTATGTCTGTGTCTTTATTTCTGTCCTGCCCCTAGGTTCGTCAGAACCTTTTTTTTTTTAGATTTCATACATATGTGTTAGCATATGGTATTTGTTTTTCCCTTTCTGACTGACTTCATTCTGTATGACAGACTCTAGGTCCATCCACCTCACTACAAATAACTCAATTTCATTTCCTTTTATGGCTGAGTAATATTCCATAGTATATATGTGCCACATCTTCTTTATCCGTTCATCTGTTGATGGACGCTTAGGTTGCTTCCATGTCCTGGCTATTGTAAACAGAGCTGTAGTGAACATTGTGGTACATGACTCTTTTCGAATTATGGTTTTCTCGGGTATATGCCCATTAGTGGGATTGCTGGGTTGTATGGTAGTTCCATTTTTAGTTTTTTAAGAAACCTCCATACCGTTCTCCATAGTGTGACAGCTAAAACTTTTTAATAGTAAGTTTAAACATTTGCAAAAGATATAATTTTGAGGATATTGTGAATATTGACATTTAAAAATAAAACTATTGTTCTTTTAAATATATTCAGTAGAATATTCGGCATAACTGTTTGATACCCATAATCATCCATTAAAAAAACTGCATGACAGACTTTCCTTTAAATGTCAGAAATCTTACATCCTTGATTATTTTCCTTGAAGAGAGAAAATTTCTACCCTCACAGTTTTAGTGAAGGTGTTAATTTGCATATTTACCATCCCGAAATCAATTCCTTTAAACTAACTTTGCCTTAAAACTACGTGTGCTTACAAAACTATGTGTTCCTTGAAAAGTTTTAAGATGCTCCCTTTTGAAGGGATTACTTATTTTGAAGGCTACTGATTTAGTCCAACATGTTTTATATAATATTTCAACAGCATTCATTTGTATTTTATATTTTCCTGCAAGGAAAGTAAACATAAATGTTGTTTCTCTGGAATTTTCATATAGCTTATTAGTATCTGTATATAAATGTAGGAACATCATAAATTAATGAATGGCTGACTGATTTTCATCCAAGCCATTGGATGGTTGCTAGGCAGATTAGTTTACACCACATTATCTTAGTTATCTAGACTAATACTGTTATCGTCTGTTTTCTAACCACAGTTTATCTTTATATGAAATTCTGATATTCATGAATTTGCTTCTGTAGGTCTTTTCTTTTGACTTATAGTTTCATCTGCAAATTGTTACTGCTGTAACTAGAAAAAGAGGAAATGGGTTAGTTGAAAAGAGGCAATTTTTAAAAAGCTATAGCACAGTAGAAATAGAGATTTTTCAAAGAAGCCCTAGGAATTGATAAAAGAACCAAAGGGTCTTAGTACTGCTCTCTGGTTTATTAAAATTCAGGGAGCTGAACTACAGTAAAGGGGTCCCGAAGCCTATTTCTGACATGATGGAAACCCTGGGCTGAGCTGTGCTATGGAGGGACTTTTGCCTGGGGCTACCTCAACTTTCCCAGGCAAGGGAAATAAAATTTACCCAAACATTTAAAATAGTGAAGCCTTTTGGAATCAAGTTTGTTCTTTGAGCACTTTGGATAAAGAATATAGATGTAGATAGGGCAGAAGGTAATGTTTCTTAGCAAATAATATTTATAATTCATTGTAACAAAAGACAGATTCTGAGAGGTTTCTTAGCAAGCAGAAATCGTATATAAAAATGAATAATATAGTACCTATTGGAACAAGTTCAAAATGTATAAAATGTCCGTGTTATTTTCCTCTTATTATGGTTGCCCTATTTTATTTTAATAATTTTAAAGTATTTTCAAGATCTCCTGAGTTTCTTTTTTTTGTTTGTTTGTTTGTTTTGTTTTTTTGCGGTACGCGGACCTCTCACTGTTGTGGCCTCTCCCGTTGCGGAGCACAGGCTTCGGACGCGCAGGCTCAGCGGCCGTGGCTCACAGGCCCAGCCGCTCCGTGGCATGTGGAATCTTCCCGGACCGGAGCACGAACCCGTGTCCCCTGCATCGGCAGGCGGACTCTCACCCACTGTGCCACCAGGGAAGCCCCTGAGTTTCTTTTAACTTCCATCCCATTGTCCTTTTTTTCCCTCAAAGGTCTTAGATTCCTTGGTGGTAGACTTGCATACCACAGGGATTTTTAAGAATTGGGATGTCTTGATTAAACTTATGTTTATCAGTTTAAATCTTGCTCTCTTTTTAAAAAATTTTTTTGATTATTTGAAATCTATAGATAGTTTATTTTATTTTTAAAATTTTTTGGCTGTGCCATGTGGGATCTTAGTTCCCCGACCAGGGATTGAACCCATGCCCCCTGCATTGGGAGCAAGGAGTCCCAACCACTGGACCACCAGGGAAGTCCCACATCTTGCTCTCTTGATTGGAAACAGTCAGATGTCTAAATGTTCTGTGTGTTACTTGGGCTCTTTTCAATGAGTTCTGTGTAATATTAACCTGCTATAATGTTGACCTGCCAGAAGTTACTGTATGTATCGCTATGGTATTTGTTTATGTGGCATTTAGAATGTCTTACCATTAAATATTTAGTCTTTATGGCATCCTGTTGAATGAGATAATAATTATTATCCTCATTCTGAGATAAGGCCATTAAGATACAATATTTTTTGAAGTTTAATTGCTGGAGTTCTAGCGTTCCTCGTAAAGCCATTCTGTGAAAACTCATAATGTAGTCAAATTCCAATCATCCATATTGATGGGGAGGGCGGGGAGAGACACTGATGCCTAATTCAAAAGTCATACATAGTTTTATAATACATTTTATACTTATGTTGGAATATATATGAATCTTTTGTGGGTGTTACATTTTACATAAAGTGTCAAAATCACATATTGAAGACAAAGCT